CACATAAATATTCATTGTGTAAACTCCCTTGGCTCCCTTTAAAATAGCAACCAAGCACATAGTCATCTGCTCCCATTTGCTCCTGCTCCTGAGAAAGGTTAAAAGTAAATTGCAATGAGTTCCATCGGAGTAGAGACATTGAGAACTTCTACCCCAAATAGAGGCCAGATCAGAATTAGAACAGATGGGGACTCAGATACGCCAGACCTATTTGACAGAGGATTGTGTCCTGAGTTCTAGAACCATCTATAAAACTTTTATTTCCGTTTGCTTTGGGACAAATAATGCAAGGAGTCGAGGGGAAAACCAACTTGTGAGGAAACCATGAGATTTTTCTGCCTCCTCATTGTCTTAGGTAGAAAAGCTTTTAATTGAAGTAGCATTTGCTTTACACTTCAATATATGTTAAATAAAGATAATCTATAGGGGAAATCATTGAGACATAGGAAATTAAGCTGGAATGTTTTCCTATGCTATTAAACTATCCCCGTAAGAAGTCATCAGCAGTAGATGCCCCAAATTTTAAAACAGAGTGGTGGTGCTTCCTAAGAGTACTGGTGGGATGGGAAGGGGGAATAAACCACTTGACCCTTCTGTCATCAAATGAAAAGGTAAGTATTTCTCTAAAAATAGACTCTTTATTTTCTGAGGAAGATCTAGAGGAAAGCAAGAAAGGTAGGGTTCACCCAAAGGTGGCCATTAAATCCACTTGTCCCCTTGTCCATTCACTGTTCTCTCCAGCACACCTGTGTACCTGTGACACTTCTTCTGGATGTGATCAGGCAGACAATACTGGCAGCAGGCATCAGAGCTAAGAAAACAGCCTGGTCAAAGTGAAACTTAGCAGGATGCTTATGGGTGAGAAGAGAGGAAAGGGGCTATTTTTATAACTTTCTCCTCAATTAGAAATACAATTTCTGTGCTCTTATTGCCTCAGACCTTGGAGTGTTTTTTATTTTGTTTTAGAGTGAGTGCTGTTATTTAATAATCAGACATGAAGGTGGAAATGTTAAAAAAGAAGAAAACTTTTCTTTGCCTTTGCTTCTCAAAAGGGTGGTCCCTAGGTCAGCAGCATCCGCAGCTCCTAGGAGCTCGTTTGGAATACAGAAGGCCAGGACGCACTTAGACCTACTGGAGGGATAACAGAATCGCCACGCAATTTGTTTGCACGTTAAATGTTTGAGAAGCGCTGGCCTAGAGGATTTGTAATGACCCAAAGGGGTTGAGAAGGTGGGTTAATTGCCCCTGAGGCCAGAGCTCACACTGTCAGTGGACAGCAGTGCCACAGTGTCCCAGAGGAGAGTAAAAGCAACCCCAATATGTTCATTACTTATGGAGCAGGGGCTCATTATACCACCCCATTAATTACACACACACTTACATGCTGTATATGTTAACCTCCCAAAAAAAGGAAGGAAGGCAGAAAGGAAGGAAAAAAGGGAAATGCAAAGAGAAGGAGGCAAGGAAGGAGGAAGAGAAAAAGGAAAGAGAGAAAAAAGCTCACATTTTATTTGGTTTTGTTTTGACCACACATCAAGAAGCCTTTTACTTATAGACCTGTGATTTGAGCCCCCCAACTACTATTCCCAAGCCCACAACTTCCCTTCTACTTCCTCCAAAACTATAAAATGATGAATAGTGAATAAACTGTGTATGTGGCACACATCAAGGTACGGAGTTTTACGTAAGACCTTGGAGCAATAATAGCAGTTGAACTGACGTGATGCTATTTTAAGGAAGAGATGAAAACAGTGTCATAAGTGTTCTTTACAATATCAAGGAATTGGAGATTTGGCTAAAAGTGTCCTGGACACGAAAGCAGATCATCTCAAACACAGATGGAGAAATTCTTGCTGGCTCAGAAGTTAGGAAGAAGAAAAGTCAGGAAATTAGCCTGCTGCACAGGAAACTTTCTCTGATAGTCCCTGTCAGAGAACAGGTCCATAAAGAGACAGAACATAGGATGCCCTGACCAGAGAAGATGTAATAAAGGGCTGTGGGAGGCAGCAGAGGGAGGGGAGAATAATGAACTTATTATTTGAATAAATGAAGGGATTTTTATGGGGCAGGAGATGTATGACCAGTTTATTTCCACATCCATGAAAAATCAAGCAAAAAACTTCCCTTAAGCTAAGAAAAACTTGGATTGAAAATTAAGCATGATTTTCAATAGAGCGATATAACACTTAGGGCTGGTGTTAGGGGTTGCAGACTTGTAGTGATTCACACTTTGGACCTTCTCCTGAAATAACTTTTTATTCCAGTGGAATCTGGATAAAATGAACAATAATCAAAATAAGCAATATCTGGGAGAAGGATGTAAATGGGGAAGGAAGATCTCTTGGCAATATTGAGGGATATTTATGAGATGATAGCGTATAGTCAAGTGCTGCATTTTGTGTAACCATTTGCTATGCTACCACCTCTGTCTGAGTCATGGTGTAACAGGAACAGTAGAGATCAAAGCCAGCCATTTACTAAGGTTGGAAGGCTCTGCTATGAGGAAATATGTACAGTTGCGAATAGACTTCTCAGGGATAATAAGGCTTTGTAAAGCCTGCAGAAGACAGCAGACACTACTAGTTCTTAAGTGTTCAAGATACTGCCTTTTGGAAAATGGAGGACCTTCCAGCTTTATACTTCATGATTCTAAAATGATGTACCCTTCTATGGGCATGTCTACAAAAACGTACAATGACACTCTGCTGGAAAATGTTTTCTGTTCACCTTTAAATCCATTATAAAAATGAGAATGTTCTGTTTTTGAAAATGTGAAAAAAAAAATAGCAAAATAGCCCTTAATAGAAAAACTATGTCAGGAAGCCAGGATAGTGGCACTCTATAAAAATTAATAAGCTCAGCATAACATTTCAGTCAGGGGAAGGCACTGCTGACAGACAGATGCCCGTAAATCTCACTGGAGCAGCATTGTTTTAAAATTTCCCCAGCCACAGGAGATTGTATTAAGCACAGGAAGACAGCAGCTTTGGAGACACTGAAGTCCTGGCCTGAGTTTCTGGTGTGAAGCAGCTAGAGCTGGCAATATGTACACTTTTAAAAATTATCTGAGCTGAACCATTCTTTGTAAACCGATAAGGGAGTTTTAAGAATTTAAGAAGTTTGAAAGGTCTTGTTTACTGTGGATATGACCAATCTAAGGACAGTAAGTGGATGACAGAATTTTCTTCTCTAGAATCCATTTCATCACATATTTTGACTAGTTTTCTCGGTCTGAATTTAAAACTGAGTGAATTTTACAGGCAGATGCAATTACGCTTATGTTTATGTAGTTAGTAGCACTAAGCAACTTTTGATACGATGTCACTATTCCTCATTCATGAAGAGTATTAGGTACAAATTCGTCCTCAAAACTTCTTCCGGAAGATGTCTCTTTGTGACTATATTTGTGGCAATGCTGCTAGTGACGAGGTGGTTTAGATGAAACTTGCTTCACTGTCTCTTTTTAAAGAGGCAGAATCAATGTACGAGGCCAAGTTTTAAATGAAGCTTTTCTGTGCCCTGGTTTAAACTTTCCCGTTACATGTGACCTGATATTATTCCCATTTAAATACATCTCATTTTTAATTAAGATGTTGATTTTATGAAAAGTAACTTGTCAAAAAAAAAAGAAATCCCAATGCTTTGCTGTTTAGTAAAAATCAATTGAACTGGCACCCTCCAAAAGATTTTTATTTATGACAAGCTCAGACACTTATTTTCTGGTGTTTGTTAGCTCTTATAAAATAGATGATCCTGGCTAAATCGAATAGGCACTGTGACTTGGGTTTGGACCTTCAAGTTCAAATTAACAAGATATTTGAAAGATCTTCCAACTTCCCTTCAGCTGAGATAGAAAATGATAGCACTCTAAAAGCAGAGCCTGGCAGAACACAGTTACATAAAATGTCTTTTCATTTTTGCACTCTATTACCCTTTTACTATTATAGGAAAATGGTGTTATCGCCTGATTACTGAGAAAGCACACGAAAATCTCGCCTTCCAAATCTAAGCCAGTCCTTGAACAGTGATGAACAAAGCCAGGCCATCTGCTCTGAATATCATTACTACTTTGGCCATTTGGCCAAGAGATCTATCTTCTCTGCTTCAAAGCGAGGTTAAGATCGGAAAATTGAAATAAGTAGACAGGAAGAGGCATTTGAACAAATAGCACTTTCGAACGAAAGCCCCATTTTTCAGGTTATTATCATTAGCATCATTTTCCTTTTTCATTCTGCCCACAGACTTAACCTTTGGAGTCCCCATTTTGCAAAACATTTCAGTAAAAAAACTTAATTCCCGAGTTTCTGCGGTAAACGCTTAGGAAGGAAAACGGACGTGTGGGAGAATGTGAGTCATCAGTCACCCCCACCCTGCCTCCTGGTGATTCTCCATTGGCAAACCAGAAACACAGGTTGAGCTCACATTTCTGTCTTTCTGGAATCACCCCATGCCTCAGGCCATGTTAATTTCCTGAACTAAACAGTCCCTAATCTGCTGAAAGGCAGCTGGCTAACTGCTGGTGTCTGGCAAGTGCCCCATCTGTCCCCGTGCTCGGGGTCTCTCCCTTCTGCCTTCACTTTGCCTCTCTCCCAAGCAGGCGTCTCTCTTTGTTTTCTGGGGTGTCGTTCACTTGAACTTTCCTTCCTATGCCTGTAAACTTGAGCTCCTTTCCTCTCCCCCGCGGACCTCGGGCTTTGTCTAAGTGACCAGACGCAGTTGCGTGACTGTAGTTACCGCGCTGGTGATGGTGGGCATGATGACAGCGATGGAGACGGGGCGCCCACGGTGCGGGGGAGCGCGGGCCGAGCGGGCGCCGGGGGAGGGAGGACCGCAGGCGGCGGGGAGCGGGGCGCGGCGCGGAGGGAGGGCGTGCGGAGGACTGCGGATGGGAGCTGTCCACATAGCCCAGTGCTGAAACGCCGCGGCCATGGCATCGCACGAGCGGGGAAAAGGCGGGGAGGCGCTGCACACACAGAAGGGAGAAAAAAGGCAACAAATACCTTCACGCGGCCGCCCAGCCTTGCTTTGGGAATGTGTTTCTGCAGGTGTCCGCGCTGCTGAACTGGGTGGGCGAGATCCCCTATGCTGGCAGGTTCGGGCTCAGATTTCTCTAGAAAGCTGTGAATGAGAGCTCGGGCTCCACGCGGGGCTGTGATTTTGGTAGGAGGCGTGTGCGCCCGAGACTCTGTCCTTCTATACCGAGCCTGGCTTTCCCCTGGGTCCTAAATGCCTCCGCACCGTCGCTCTCCCCCGTTCCGTCAGGACGTACCAAGAATTATTGTAATTTTGTTAACACTGGGACAAAAAGTACCAGAACCATCACTCGCCACACGACCTTAAAAAACAGAATTTTTCGAACGGATTAATACAAGCTCTGAAACAGACCGGTGTGTATGTGTGTGCATGTGTAAATTTGACATATGAGAAAGTGTCGCAGATCTATGGGGAAAACGGTGGATTATTTTATTAACAAACGGTGTTAAGAAAATGAACTACATGAAAAGGCTCAAAGCCTCATCTCACCAAAATAAATTACACGTAGATGAAATAGCTCGACAAAAAAGCAAAATTAAAAAAAATAACTAGAAGAACATAAATATTTTACTGATCTCAGGATGGGGAGGTTTTCTAAGCACAAGAGGAATAGAAGAAATTACAAAGAAAAAGATCAGTATGTTTGAGTGCATGAAAAAAAATACTCTGAATGTCAAAATATCAAAAAAGAGTAAACACAAATTACCACTTGGAAAAATTGCAACAAATACATGTTTTCTACATAAAATACCTCATAAATCAGAAGAAAAAGCTAACAGCCTCATAGAAAAGAGGAGGCAGGGCAAATGACAAAGAATTCAAAGGAGAAAGGAGGATACACAATAAACACATTTTCAAAAATCAACCTCAGTAAACAGAAATACATAGTTTAAAATAGCACTGAGGTGTAGTTTTGGCTCAGGTTTTAAATATGAATAATATCTCCTATTGTTGGGATAATAGTGAGAAATTGTAATCATTCTATATATCTACTTCCCGGCATATATCAAGTGTCATAGAATATACATGGCATTTAGGTCCAACAATTCCACTTCTAGCATCATATGCTGAAGCTATATTCAGATATGCAAAGATTTGTATATATAAATTTCATTTATGATCATAGAAATTGTCAAAAATAATGAAAGCATTGAATTTTGTATATAGGCTGTAATATTTGCAGCCATTAAAAACATATATTTGAGGATTATTTAAAGACAAAGAGAAATGCTTGCAAAATGGTAAGTGAAAAAAAGCAAGATACCAAGTACAGCACCCCCATTGGCCCTAAATTGCCAGGTTGGCAAGATCATAGGACAGTATGATGAGATTACAGGTAAATTTTCTTTTTTGCCAGGTAACTTGATTTTCTTCCTTGTCTAAAGTTTGTCTAAAGTTTTCATATTTACTTAAAAAAAAGAAAACCTATGACATATTTTAAGGCAATCTTTCTATCACATATTTCACAGAGACTTTAAAGTTGTCAGAATTCTTCCAACTCTAATACAGTATTATATGTTTATTTACTTGTTTACTGTCTTTCCCTCCAATAGAATGTAAGCACCATGTGGCAGGTAATTTGTCTGTTTGTTCACTATTGCTTCCTAAGCACTTAGAAGTGTGCCTGGAACAACATAGTTTTTAGCTTATCTATCTCCAGAATAAGAGCATCTACTTCTGGATATGATGTAGAGATAAGACAACCACATGAAAACTATAGATTCAGAACTTGGAAATGGATGTAGTGACTGAAGGACTTTTTGCAAGTTGATTGGGTGTGTTTTATGGTTGGTAAGAAGGGAGTTAAGATATTTTTGGTAACCACAAGGGAAGACTGCTGCAGAAACATTGATCACCAAATATCCTGATGCTTGCCCACATTTCCCAGCCCCTCACATACAGGCAAGACAGTGGACTTGCTCTTGCTCTGTGTGTTACTTCCAGGCTGAAGCAGGAGCGCAGGAGCAAATTCTTCATGCGTTTTTCTTACCTGCTGTGACAATTCCTCACTTGGTTTCTGAGTGACTAGGTGGGACAGAGCCCCACCTTTCTTCCCAATCCCTCGCCTAATTGGAACAGAAAGAAGCCATGGTCATGGGAAGCCACTGGGACTGCACAGGCAATTTGTTCTTTCAGCATTATATAGCCTATCCTAACTAATAGAAACGCGGAAACTTCAAAGTTGGCCTGCACATTAGATGATAGAAATATTAGTGAGAATCTCTTATGATACTATATTGGGATATACAAAACTACAGGGAGAACAAAATATTACTTAGATAACCAGAATATTCTTACTTTTGCAATTTGACCTTACTCCTCATACACTTTTTCCTGCCCTTAAACATCCAAGCTAGGCACGTGCTCAAAAACATGCTTTTTTGACATATTACAATATCATTCTAATACTTCCTTTATAAATATCAAGATTTCTCTGGATATTAAACCCATTCTTCCTGGACTCTCAACTTCAGTGCACCTCCACATGGACAGAGCCTTTACTTGTCACTGGCCAACCCACAAAAAGCACTCTGCCTGAATCCAAACCTCACAGCAAACCCAACATTAACAGGGTCCCTTAAAGAGGTATAGAAATGAGTGACTGGGGAGTGCCAGGGAAAAGGTTAGACAATGTGAAGGATGCTTGAGAGCAGGCCACATCTTCAACCTTGTCATTGACCATTATGTACAAAGGGGTACATGGAGAATCCTGGCAAAAAAAAAAAAAGGAAATATATAGGCAGATGCCGTGTGAGGAGCTAAAATGGAGGTTGAGCAGAGTGTGCAAAATACCAGCATAATGTTAATAACAGCGAGTGAAGAGAAGAAATTTACAGGATTATTCTAATCTGTTCTGGGTAAGGAGCCATATGCTTATCAAAGTAACCCAGTGTACTTTGGAATGACATTAAGAAGTATAAGATCAAATTAAGTTCCCATCTAGCCAATTTCCCATGTAAGGCAGTTGCAAGCAAGTGGTTACAAACAGGATGAAGCATCCTTTACAATATTTTGAAATATACATACCTCAACCTCCTTGGGAGATTCACTGGTTTTCGGCCCACTCTCTTTCCATAGGGGACTGGGGGCCCAAGGGTTATTTGAGGTCTATAAGGCTCCACAGGCTTTTTTGCTCCAACCTCATAGTTTCCTTGGAAGCATAACTCTCTGAAGACCTTAAAGGTGCATCTTCCACCTGACTTAATCAATTCCATGTCCCAGTAACCAATTCCATGTCCCAGTAACGACACCATAGGTCTTTGGAGACATGGATCTCAGATCTGCTATATTTATTTGCTTTTTCACACCCATATCTTTCTTAATATATGTGAGCCTCTCTGGCGGAAAGGCCAGAACTTTTCCCTGATCATTCTAAACCATTGAGAAGTTTTGTGTAGACATACAGGTCACACCCTTAATCTAATTCTTTCCAAAAATATTTGGTTTTAATTGACTTTTCCTCAAATGCTTGCTTAATTTTACCTCTTTCTTTGGGAGCAAATATTAATTGGCTTTTCCAACATGGCAAGATCTTGGATATCTGGAAGTCTCTATTCTATTTCTACTTTAAAGACCAACCATCTTTTTCTTTATTATCTTGCAAAATATAGCAAATAATAACCAAGACATACTAATGATGCTTTGTTTTTTACCCACTTCACCCTAGGAACATGAATTCTTTAAGTAAGCAATCTGTTTTTATGATTGACACATAATTGTACAAATTTATGGGGTACGATGTGATGTTCTGATACATATATACATTGTGTAATGATCAAATCAGGGTAATTAGCATGTCTATCATCTTAAACATTTATCATTTCTTTGTGATGAGAACATTCAAAAACCTCTCTTCCAGCCATTTCAAAATATACAATATATTATTGTTAACTCTAGTCATCATACTATGCAGTAGAATGCCAGAATGTATTCTTCCTGTCTAACTGTAGTTTTGTACCCATTGACCAATCTCTCACCCTCTGCCGACTTCCGACCCTCTCCATCCTCTGGTAACGACTATTCTACTCTCTACTTCCATAGCAACTTTTTAGATTCCACATATGAGTGAGATCATGTGATGTTTGTCTTTCTGTGCCTGGCTTATTTCAGTTAACATAGCATCCTCCAGGTTTATCATGTTGCCATAGGGTTTCATTCTTTTGTGTGGCTGAATAGTATTCCATTGTGTATATACACCACATTTTCTTTAACCATTCATCCACTGATGGACATTTTGGTTAATTCTGTATCTTGGCTATATACAATATTACTTTTAGGTTATTGCAGGTGATAGTTCTACCAAATGTTTTATCACTGCATAACATAGATTACTTTCTTTCCTATCATTGATATCCACTTCATAGCCACACGCTGCCAGCCACTAAGTCGACACTACACAATTTATTTTTTTAATGCAGCACTTCACTTCGAGGAGATGACAGGCTATGCTTCAATAATAAATAAGCCCAAAGATTTCAGAGGCTTAATACAACAAAGTTTTATGTCTCTTGCTGGAGAGTCAATGCTAGTTGGAAAGGAGACGAGGTGTAAGGGAGCTAGAAGGTCTCTACTCCACAAAGTCAGACTCGGGAAAGCTCTATCATTTTGAAAGCCATTGTGATGGGGGAAATGGATACATGAAAACTCACACTCACTCCTAGAAGTGACATATATCACTCCTACTGATGGCCCATGGACCAGAATAAGTCATTTCGTCCTACTTAACTGCACGAATCTGGGAAAGGTGGGAGTATTTGATGTGCAGTAGAATATCAAAAGGAAGCACAAACTTAAATTCATTTCTGAGAGACTTGAGAGATGAAAAGCTTGAGAGACTAATAGCAAAGATCTAATAAGTCATCATCATATACTGATACTCATTCCAGGGGATTGTTGTAGAGCATCAAACAGCAGGAGGTATTCACGTTTGAAAATTCTTGACAGAAAGAGTAAAGTAATTCAACCCATAGTGAATGTCCACAATGTATCATACAAGGAAGTATAACCACTACCATCAAAATTATCATTTCTATAACTTGAAAACAAAAGAGCTCAGTAATCGATATCAATGTGGTTGAGGAAAGAACATGAAGGTTGTAGACAGAGTACTTTGGTTCAAATCTTATTAGCTGTGGGATC